ATGACGAGGAGCTGGACGGCTTGACGCCCGGCATGCAGTCGAAGGTGCGAAGCAAGAAGGTGAAGAAACTTCGCAAGCTTATGTCCAGGAAGCTTAAAGGCAAACGGGTCATGGCTAAGAAGGTGAAGGGCAAGAAGCGGCGGGTGCCACCCGCTGGGGACGAGGAGCCGATCGAGCCAGAGGTCAAGAAGCGGAGGAAGTCCGCAGCTTCGTCCTCTTGGGAGTCTTGCGAGCTTCCTGATGCGAAGGCGGCTTCCACAAAGCCGAAGGCCAAGCCCAAGGCAAAGGGGAAAGCAAAGGCAAAGGCCTCTGCCGTGAAGAAGCCCGATGCAGATGAGGACACGAAGCCGGCTTCCAGAAAGCCAAAGGCCAAGCCCAAAGCAAAGGCTAAGGGGAAAGCAAAGGCCAAGGCCTCTGCTGGCGGGGCAAAGTGTGCGAAGGCAAAGGCCAAGCCTGGTGCTAAGGCTGTGGCAGATGATGGGGCTGCACCGGAGCGCGAAGCTCGCCTTCCGTTGAATGAGCGACGGCAGCGCCAGATGTGGCTGACAGGAAAGAGGTGGACTTTCATCATCATTCCCGGGCAGTACTATGGATGCAAGAACTGCAGATTCCTGTACTATGGCTGCAAGTCGTGTCAGAAGGAGTCGTTCAAAGGTGTTCGGGCGGCTGAGTATGCGAGCACAGATGAAGAGTACTTGTGGGCCCTCTCCCAGCTCGGTCCGACCGGCGAGGTCGACGATGACACGCCCGACGATGACGACACCCCTGAGGTCCCTCCGACCAAGCCGAAGAAGAACCCGAAGAAGAAGGCCAAGACATCTAAGGATTGAGGCGCTTTTGGTTTGGCGTGGTTTTGGCAGGTGGCCTGGCCAGGCTCTTCATCATGATTCGGAAAAGCAGTTCTCATTTTGCTTCAAGCCGCATTCAAGCCTATCAAATGCTGAAAACATATACCAAACATCCCTCAAGTTTCGGTTCACATGTGGCTGGAATTCGAAGCCCTGCCAGCCCAGGTTCGTGATGCCCCTGCTGACGCCGATCATTTAGATTCAAAGCTGGAGCTTTGATTGAATCCTTTTCTGGGGTACGGGCAGGGACAAACCTTGCCAGGGTCCAGTGCTGCCAGGGCTGTGTGTCGTGCGTATTTTGTTATGATCATATTCGTTTTGTGTGCTTCAGCCTGATCAATGCACAGTGCCTGTGCGCACTACACATTTGAAAGTGCTGCAGCACTTTCTCGGGGTGCACATGTGGCGTGATGACCAATGTGAGCGGATCCGAGCACGATCTGAAAAATAGCTAGTGTCGAGGTTTGTGGTGCAACACTTTGTCATGATCGGTGTGGAGCGGAACTAGGGTAACTAAGTTGTCTGACTGCACGAACAGAGTCTCAATTGCCAGGTGCCTCGAGCTGCGGCGCGATGAGTGCCGCAAACCGTCGCCGGGCCGTCTATGAAGCCGAAGGTGCTTCCTCCCAACAGCTGTGCTAGGGCTGATTGTCTGACTGCATGTTGTGCGCGATAGGGCAACGGCTCGTGGGAAGTTGTTGTGGTGTGCTGACTTCACTTCATGGCACTCCCTGCAGTTCGGTGCATTCATGACCTCAGATTTTGGGTCCCTCAGCTGATTTCACGTTTCACTTTAGTGTGTGGTACTCGTACATAGAGCTACCATGCCTATGGCTTCTTCGGAGTTGAAGCAAATGCTCACTGATTTGTGGACATGGAATGCACCCGGTGTGCCTCAACTGCATTTCCTGTTGTTGGCTTACCAGTTCAGTGCTTCTACTTGTACTTAGAGGGCTTGCTCAGGGAAACTGGTCTTAGGTACTGATGATTGCCGTCCTGCTCCTGGCCTACACTGATGGTCTTCAGTTTGACAAGGCTTGCCTCATGTGACAAACAGCCAACATCTTGAACTTTTCGGAATCTAGAAAGAACTATAACATGCCACATTGTTGCTGGCAGATCTACGACATGATCGAAGTCTTCTCAGGGACGGCTACTCTGACCAAGTGTGTGCGACGTGCCGGCTACAGTGCCTGTTCTATGGACATACAGGACTGGAAAGGTCATGTATTGACGAGGCAAAAGCACGGATGTCCAGTAACATGCGGCAATCCGCTGGATTTGCTGAATCCAGCAGGCTATGCGCCCTCTACTTGCATCGTGAGCTGACATCCAATTCTAGAGTGTAGAGAACCTCATAAACCAAACCACCCAACCGCCAGCTCAGGTTGCTCCTCTCGACAATATTGAGGTGCCGGCCTGGATCTGTCGTGACGTTCGGCTTGGTTTGCTCATCCTTCGTCAGTGTCAGCAGAGGCTCAACCCAGCGGCATTATTTTTTGCCCTTAGGGGACGAGACAGCACCGTCTGTGCAGCGAGGCAATCTACTTGCCAATAGGAACGGGCCAGGGAGCAAGGGTTTCACGCGATTTCTGTATAGGAGCTGATAGGGTGGATCAGGACTATATAGGGCCTATTATAAGGAGCTTAAACGG